CATTATCCTGTGCATGTTTGACATGCATGTCGTCATTATATATATATATATATATATATATATATATATATATATATATATATGTAAAATGTGCCTCTGTGGCACAGCGGTAGAATGCCTGCCAACCACGTATGTATTCGAGGGTTCGATCCCCGCTCGACGCACTCCTTTATTTCGCTGAGCCAGTAATAAGAATAGTAAAATGGCAAGGTTGGGCATCAAGCTAGCATCACCATCCCTTAAAAATAAACATTGCTGCTGCCGAAACTCTAAGCCTGTAGCTTGGAGCCCCATGTTACACAGGGAACGTAAAGGAAGAAAAAAATGCATATTTAATATTTCTAGAATATATCTAGTAAACAAACTAACTTGTATGGGAATTACTTACTACCACAGTGGCCAAGTTCTACGCATACATTAATATGACTTAAAATGTTGTTTTCATTTCCGGTTGCTTCCTACTAAATCGTGTCCATATACTACTGATAAATCCTGTTAGTAGTACACACCAAATTAATGTACGTAAAACAATATTAGTAAACTGTAATCTCATTTCTAAACAAGCAAAAAATAGGATGAATTTGAACCATGAACACCATTTCGTTCTACTTTATTTTACAAAAAGAAAGATGTGAGCAATAGAAAAAAAAGCAGCTTAACTGAACATCAAATCATCCTACTTAATTAGATTACCTATACGTCATAAGCACTGAGAATTTAACTTACAATCTTAGAGACGCAAATGCAAGAAAGAAAACAAAATTCACGCTTCAGAAATGTGAAAAGAAAAAAAGGAAACGCTAATACTAATGATTAAAACCTATATAAGAGGTAGAAAGTAGAACTAGTCCACTGTAAATAACATTACTTCTCAAAACTCTGTTTTCCTTTTACTCTTTGAATTACTGAGTCTGTATTTGGGTGTTACAAAAGCTGTCATCTATGAATTCTCTTTCTTCCTATTGAAATGGAATCGAATTTTGTTTTTCCCTTTCTGAGCTTTTATTTGGTCATGTCGTATCTTTCTTTCTCTCTTTTAAGTTTGATTATGAATTGATTTTTATTAGAGAACCACTGAGAACCAGGAAATACCGGAGTGTTGGTTGGCGTTTCTTTCTAGTTTGACACTCTTCAGAATCACGCATTCATGACCTCATCAGGGATCTAACTCAAGACTTTCAGGATAATATTTCTCGACCTATCTAGCCATCTACCCACTGCGACGAAATCCAGTGAACCATCAATTTTAACTTCTGCCAGTTTGCGATGTATAGCGACACTTTATCGGTCAGGATTATTGGATCTAACTTGTCAAGAATTCCCAGCTAAAGTCTAACCACTATTGAACATTAGATTTTATTTTTTTTTAAATTTCGGGTTCCAATTTGATCACGAATTAATTTCATTTAGACAACCCCTGAAAATCAGTAACTAACTGCCCAGTGGATTTGTCTGGTAGGATGGAACGTTTAACTGTGCAATCCTCGGTGGGGTTGTTAGCGTGCATTATGCAGAAGATGCGGCAATGCTGAGTGTAGTGCTTTCCAGTCGACTGATAACTTTTCAGTGAATCAAATGACAAGATCGCTAGCATGAACAACTTCATGTGTATGCATGACTTCACGTGTTCTCGTGAACTTGTGGTGCATGATACTGATAAGATTACTAGCTCGCTAGTTTCCTAGCCGATCCCAAGCCTAGATAAAAAGGGAGGGCTGGGGCGTGGTGATAGCAACTCCCCCACCCAAAACTTAACCAAATTGCTACAGAAACTTCAATGCACAAATATATTAAACATTCTAAAAATATAAAAAGTGACCTTATTTTTCACTGGAATCGGGGAAGTGAAATGACGCAGGCTGGTGAAAGCTAGCCTTCGGGAAGCTAGTCAGCCGATGTGCCTGCCTTCTCTCGATGAAAGCAAAAGTAAGGATGGGTACCTGGAATGTTCGTACAATGTACGAAACTGGAAAGGCTGCCCAGATAGCCGCTGAAATGAGAAGGTACAGAATAGAAGTGTTGGGAATCTCCGAGAGCAGATGGAACGGATGTGGTAGGTGCCAACTATCAACTGGAGAGACAATCATCTATGCCGGTCACCCAGAGGACAACCACGAGCACACTGAGGGTGTGGCCATCATGACGTCACCAACAGCAGCCAAAGCTCTCATGCAGTGGGAACCAATCTCCTCCAGGATAATGACAGTTAGGTTCAACTCAAAAGGAAGGAAGCTTACAATCATTCAATGCTATTCACCTACAAATGTCTCAGAACAAGAGAAGAAGGAGCAGTTGAAGCCCCATGTTCCACTAGAAACCCAAGGGAACAATAATAATTATATATATATACATATTACCTGCAAAAATATATAACAGCGGAGAGATTTTAATGTATGGTAGACGTAATTTACCTATATTTGTATGTCGAATTGCCATTAAATAATTCCGTTACCAAATACTTTTCTGTTCTTTCGTTACAAGTTAAAGGCAAGTTGTGTGTAGAGCTAGTGATCTAATATTATATTGTTGTAAATCATCATGTGTTGTTGTCACACATAATCATCTACACATCAGACACCAACCTGAAGTTATTGCGTATGAAAATTCAAGTCAAATTCGATCACAGCATGACTTGAGTTGCAGCCTGAAGGTACTACAATCGACCCCTGATGTGATCATGCGTGAGTATCAATGAAGAGTCTCAAGCCAGGACGAGGTAGTTGTTCAGCACTCCTTGATTTATTTTTCAACTCGTCCGTGATTAAACTTGAAACTCATCAAATCATAGTTGAGCAAGAATTAGAAAATGATGTCATTCCTAGAGGAACATAGGGCTTCAGCCACTCGTCTCCATTGCATTTGGTTCTCTGCTGAAGTTTTCACCTGGCTCCAGGTCTGCACACATGTTTTCATCTACTCTTCGTATGACCTCCTCCAAGTCAACCTTGGACGACAAACTCACCACTTCCCTTTCGAGTTACACTCGAGTAATGGCTTGTCTAGTGATGTCACTTGATGGTTTCCTCAGTGTATGGCCAATCCATCTAACTCGATTTATTCCTGCATATTTGTTACACAATCGGTCCCTGCTGGGTTGGTTAACTCCAAGAGATCCCTCCCTGTTGCTGATGTTTTCTGGCCGGCCATCCGATCTTGAATAGTACTGAGCAAAGACAACCGTTAATGAAGGTCTGGAGTTGATTTGAGATGCTCTTTATGACGCGCTGGCCAAGTCTCTGATCTATATAGTAGGTAGCACTGGCTTCAGATTGTAGGTGAAAATCCGGATCTTATTTTTCATTCTCAGTATTGCTGTTGACCTCCAATGGGAAATACACAAGTTTATTTTATCCTTGATTAGGTGAACAGAGTCATTCATAATTAACTGATTCCAAAGTGTTAACGAGAAATAATACCTAGAAAGTAAATAGTAATAATAATGATAATAGTAACAATAATAACAGTATCAATTGACCTTTATCTTTTTCTAAATATGATTATTATTATTAATTTTGAATGGAATTCAACTTGACTTCAATTAGTCAACCTTAAATTAACTCCTGGTTAATCAGTTAATTATAAAAGCTACTTTATTGTTGTATTTATCCATGGGGAAATAGGAAAGAGGGGAAACAAAGTGGTCAACTGTCCATCTCATGATTATTTCCCCTTTTGCATTCATTTAATCCCTCATAGAGCTCATAAGTGATTATGAAATATCATTGTAAGTGATATTATGAACTGTGGGATTAAGAGTGTGATTAGCAAGGAGATTCATTATAATAAATTTCATAAATAAATATAATTAGATATGGCAGGTGGGGTAAGTAATCAAGCTTCTACTGTGTGTAAATTAAGGTGAACTCATCTAGGGTGATTATGCTCTCTGTTAGACAGATTAACACGTCTTTTTCTTTTGAAAGATATTTGAATATAGGTGACAATAAAGAATGAAGTCTTCTAATTGAAACGGTATAACGAAGTGGCACATAAAGTAATGGGAAAAAAAGGCATAGTTGTCCTTTTGAAGAACGAAACCACTGAAAGTAGGATTCGTAAATCCTGGAGAACATCCTCTGTGAATGATGCAGATGTTGAGCTTAAGTTATATCCTCCAATCTAGGATTATTTTAAGCGACACCTTAATATTTATTATGTTGAATCGTCAGCCAATGCACTCCTAAATGTCGCTTAGCTGGTAGTTATCATGGTTAAGTTGACAGTTGGGTGTGAGGTTAGCAGGTCGACCAAATCTAAAAATAAATAACACCACTGTGGCCGGAACCTTAAAGCTCCAGCTTGAAGCCGTATGATACATTTGGAACCGCAAGTGAATGGAAATTCTGCATACCTGAATCCGCAAAGTAAATTTACCTAGTTCCCTAGGATTGATTATACTCTGAGAAAACAAATCATCATCAAGTGACATCAAACGTCAGGCCATAGCTCGAGGGGAACTCGAAAGGGAAGTGGCGAGTTGGTCTTCAGTGTGAGGATGACATGGAGAAGGAGATGAAAGCATGTGAGCAGACATGGAGCCAGATGGTGAAAACGTTGTCAGAGAACCGAATGGAGTGGAGACGTGAGGCCGAAGCCTTATGTTCCTCTGGAAATAATAATAATCACTCATCCACTGATTTAGGTGCTGGCGGGCGGAGAGAATGTTGACTGAAGATTCATTAGAAACTCTATCTACTACTTATTTTAAATGTTGGTTAGATAAAAACGAAACAAAATCATTTAAAGACAGTCATTTCACCACAAGTTAGCCGTTCTTATAAACAGTCGAATATGATAGATAATAAGGCTGAATAGCCTTCTTCTTTATCTTGACTAGTGGATGTATCGAAATAAACATACCGTTTCTCACTTTTTTATTTATTTTTTATTGTCCGTGGAAGAGTGGAGGAAAGGAGAGAAAGACTAGTGAATAACAAACTCTTCTTTTGTTTATTTCTTTACATTTTTTCTTTTTCTCTTCTTTTTTTATATATATTTAGATTAAAAAATGGTTTACCAATATGGATAATCTCTTTGTAACATTCACAGTTATCGCTGTCATTATGGGTATGACAATGGGATTGATCATTAAAATTTATGTCTCACCATCACCAAGAACTATTTATCTTATATCATTCCCTGGAGAATTATTAATGAATATGCTGAAAATGTTGATTATCCCGCTGATTGTCTCCAGTTTAGTATCAGGTAGGATTTAAAAAAGTTGAGAAATGTATCGCTGTGAGGGTTTCGATTTTTTGGCTTGAATTTTTCAGTGTTTCAATGATGTTTTTTGTACAAATTCATGAATAATTGTAGTATTGTTCCGCTTGATTGAAGCAAAGTGAAAAAAAATGTAACTGAGTAACCATGATGATACATAGATAGATAGATTATCTATTATTATTATTATGTCCTTTGATTCCTCGAGGAACTTAGGGCTTCAGCCAAACGTCTCCATTGCGTTCTGTTTTCTCTCAACTTTTTCACCCATCTCCGGTCTGCCCAAACTCTTTCATCTACACTTCACATCACCTCCTCCTCAATGTCACCCTCACACTGACGATCAACTCGCCGCTTTCCTTTCGTGTTCCACTCGAGCGATGGCTTGTCTAGTGATATTACTTGGTGGTTTCCTAAGAGTATGGTCAATCCACCTCCATTTCTTCCTGCCTATTTGTTTCACAATCGGTTCCTGGTTGGCTCGCTCATTGCCAGAGATCCTTGTCCCTGATCTTTCCTGGCCATCTGATCTTGGGTATGTTTGTTTGATGTGCTCTTTACGACTCGCCAAGTCTCTGATCCGTATAGTAGCACTGACTTTACACTGAAGTTGAAAATCCGGATCTTATTTTTGATGCTGAGTGGGGATGTTGACCTCCACAAAGACTTGAGAGTAATGAAAGCTTGCCTTGCTTTTCCGATGATCCTCGCTTTGATATCCTCGTCAGTTCCGCCCACCTGTAGTTGAAACGATGCTTCCCAGGTAGGTAGGTGGGTAGGTGAAGGAGGTTGTTTCTTTCAGGTTCCTCCCATTTATGCTGTCTGATTGTTGTCTGTAGTTTTTGCTGTTGCTGTGGATGTTGGCCAGGAATCTTCATCACCTGTCTCTGTTTTCTCTGTTCACCTGAAGTCCCATCTCTGATGCTTCTTCTATGACCAACTTGTTGCGTTTCACTTGCATATCTTCCAGTTTGTGGGAAATCAGACATATATCACATCGGCGAAGTCCAGATCCTCCAAGTTTTTGTTTTGTGTGAGTCCATTTTATGCCTGTTTCCTGATTTCCCACCGCTGTCTGTCGCATTATCCAGTCTACTGCAATCAAGAAGATCATTTGTGATAGTAGGCAGCCTTGTCCCACTCCTGTCTTTACTCCGAAGGTTTCCGTAAGTTTCCCGTTGTGGATTACTTGGCATGCAGAATTGTCGTATAACTGTTGGATGAGATGTATAATTGTCGATGGGACCCCTTGGTGGTAGCGAAGTGGTTTCCAAATCACCTCTCGATCGAGGCTGTCGAAGGCCTTTTCAAAGTCGATGAAGCTGAGATAGAGAGGTGACTTCCATTCCAAGCTTTGTTCAATGATGATCCTCAGTGTGGCGATTTGATCAATCCATGATTTGTTCCTCCTGAATCCGGCCTGTTCCGGTCTAAGTTTTTCATCCAGGGCTTGTTTGATTCTCTCCAGGGTGATGCGGCTTAGTATTTTGCTTGGGACAGACAGGAGCATAATTCCACGCCAGTTTTTGCATCGACTTAAGTCTCCTTTCTTTGATAGTTTGAATAAGTATCCTTTCTTCCAATCCTCGTGTACTTTGCCCTCTTTCCACACCTTCTCCAGCAATGGCGTCATCAAGTCCGCTGTTGTCTCTTGGTCCATTTTCAATGCTTCTGCTGGGATTCCATCTGGTCCTGTTGATTTTCCAGCTTTTAGCATCTTGATTGCATTCAGGACTTCTGATTTCGTCGGGGAGTTGATGTTCACTGATAGCTCCGTTTGCTTATCTATTTCTTAATGGAAATTATTGTTCATTTAGAGAAGAGACTGCTTTTGAGTAGTTGGGGAGTGGGGTAGAACCATTAATGGAATCTAAGATGAGCGTTTCTTCCTACCTCGGTGCTCGTCATCTGGATATTTCTGTATCTCAAATTGTTGCAGTGACCAAAAATTTATGTCTAAGTTTAAGTGGTTTTAACTCCAATGTGGAGTCAGTCAGTGCTACTTATCATGGGGATCAGAGACTTGGTGCGTCATAAAGAGCACATCAAAGAAACTACACACCTTCATTAACAGCCGTCTTAGCTCAATACTTCGCTCAAGATCAGATGGCCAGAAAAGATCACTAACATGCATCTCTGGGAGTGAACCAACCAGGAACCGATTGTGAAACAAATAGGCAGGAAGAAATGAAGTTAGGCGGATTGGTCATACTCTGAGGAAACTATCAAGTGACATCACTAGAAAAGCCATCGCTCGAGTGGAACACGAAAGGAAAGCGGCGAGTTGATCGTCAGTGTGAGGGTGACATTGAGGAGGAGGTGATGTGAAGAGGAGATGAAAACATATGGGCAGACCTAGAGCCAGATGAAAACTCTAGCAGAGAACCGAACGCAATGGAGATGTGCGGCTGAAGCCCTATGTTCCTCTAGGAATTAAAGGAAATAATGATAATTCAGTGGTTGATTGTTTGTTTATTTATTAAGTTAGTTATATTGTTTCTATATAGACAGATGGAAAATTCCCAATGAAATAAATTCAACTTATTTGTTCACTCCCAATACAATCGCTTTACTAATGTCTTTGAGTTAATTATTGTAATATTATTCTTCCCTTGTATTCTGAGTGCGGAGCATAGGGCTTCAACAACACATCTCCACTTTCTTCTATTTTCTAGTGTCCTCTTCAGCTGGGTCTACGATTGCCCATAATCTCTCATTCCTTCCTTTTCCTCCTCACACGATCTCCTTTATTTTAACCTCACATTGATGACCCACTCGTCACTTCCCACTGGGATTCCATTCGGGTAATAATCTGCATTGCACACGATACCATTCGATGGCCTCATCAGTGTATTCCCGATCCATCTCCAAAATAACAATACCACACTTAGTTTTATTAATTTATAAGTATTTGCATGGTATTTACATTTATGGAAATATTAAAGGAATAGGAGAAGTCTTACCTTTGCGTTGTTGTCTTTCTTCTCTCAAATACGCTTTTTATATGGAAGTACTTCATACAAACGAAACACAAGAACTGAAATCATAAGCAGACTTCTTTTTGCAGAACTATTTACCTGAATATTCATTGATGGTTTATCAGTGAGGTATACAGGGCACGTATTTTCTCAATAGAGGGTTCGTGATTATATCTTCTTATGACCACTTCTGATTCCTAGGTTTCTAGGTCTCATCCAGAATTTTTGTATGCAATGTAAGGCCAAAGCATCCTATGGTAATAATGCTGCGATGCTAAAGACCAGTAATTGTTCGATCCATTTAGATGTTCGACACTTCTTCAGTTGCTGTTTTTCTCATTTCTTTGTTTTCCGGAAGAACTTCGGTCTTCAGATTTCAGGTTTCAGTAGCCTCGGTGTTCTCTTCTTATGGCCTGGAACTGATAGCCTTACGTCTTAAATTCCGTTTTTTTCCAAGGTTTACCACTACTGGCTACATTAGGTTCACGAGTTCATCGATCAAGAATCGAAATCCAAACCACTTGAGTCACTGGTAGACATTCTGTTACTGAACCTTCAGAAAAAGATATTCTGATGTTACTTTGTTCCCCCACAGAAACTTCCCAACATCTTAGCCCTTTCTCAGGGAAATCTTGAACAATATTACTTAAAAATCTCTGTCTGGGAGATGAATGAATATGCAAAACTTGTAAGGATGTCCCTAATATTCTATTAGACATAAAGAATACTAACGGATATCTATTTCCTCTGACTTATTTCCCCCTTTTTTGTGGCATCTCTCATGCTTTCCCTTTCACTTTCCACTCCATAATTTCTCCGTCTTTTTCCATCTCTGTATTCATCGGATGAGTATATAAATCACTTGTTTAGAAGTGAATGGCAATAAATCTCTCATTATTACTCCATTATTATTATTACTATTATTTTTTATCACAACTAAATTCTGAATATGTAACAATTTTATCTTTATAGAAAGAATTTGACCTCACTGAAAATATGTTAATTTTTAATTGACCATTTCAGAGAGTTGTTTTAGTGAGTGAATGACCGACTGAATGAATTGCTTCATTCAAATAGTAGAGTTTTAAAATCCTTGTGATAATAAGACTGATGATAATAATAATAACAATATGAAATTTCAACTGATGGCAATTTCACTCAGCATCTGAACATTATTATGTTTCTAATACAGAACTTCGTTAATTTTACTCAAAGATAAGACTAGGAGGACTCCAGAATGTCCTGAATAACTAGCGAAGTACGGAGTTGGAGGCTGTAGTGTGAATGCTAGGTGCTCGCCTGTCACTGTTGGGGCTTCAATAAACTTGTTATATGAGTCATCCTCAGAGCGCTATCCCAATGAGACGAAGTGTTTGTATAGTAGACTGGTGGCAAGATCTTGTTTCGTGATGTATGTTAGAATGTCTCTAGTGAGCACCTATTTATGAGTAATAGGGGAAGCCAAGTAGCTTTTCTGATTCGTATTAGACAGGATAGAGCAAGTTCAGCATCAACGTAATGACTGATATCTTTTCTTCGACTCTGATGCAAAATTACCCATCCTCAGGTGCAGACTATATCGATCGTCTTGTACAAGTCATTGTGAAAAAATTGGCAAACCCTATGGATAGTCGGATCCAAACATCTTACGAACACATTGTATTCAGCACTGTAACTCAGCTTAAATTCAAGACATCTTCGGAAATTCCGTGAAAAGTCTTCTTTGTTAAAAATGCATGTACACCTCTAAATCAGTCTTTCCGGAGGTAAAGCTCTAGTCACAGCAAAACATTACTGTTCTACTGGTGTTTGGAGTGCTTTAGTCCACCTTTGAAAGCTATCTGAGCCAGGCAGTACAATTTTCTCAGCAATTCTTTAAGGTGAAAGACTGTGGGAGTTGAACAATGTAGGTCAAAAGAATTGGCTCTGGTAGCCTTATCAGACAAATCAACATCTTAGACGTGTCATTCAAGTTGATGGCTGGTTTTTTTACTACCTGCAGGTAGTTATTAAACTCTCATCAAGATTATTGACGGTTAGTTTCAGCAGTTAATGCTATATGAGTAACAACGCGTGTGTACTTCTTCTGCGTTAGGCCAGCCCGCTGCAATAGACTACTTGAGCCACAACAGGCACCTCTTGTGCAACGTGTCACATTAATTATTTTATTTAATTTTAGATTTTCCCGTCGATTGATTGGACCGAAGTGTTCGGTCTCGAGTTGACATGTCGTCACCCAAATGGTCTAGCAGATAAAGCTATGGTGTTTAAAACTATGGGCACTGGTTTCAAGCCTTGGTGGGAACATCATCACTACTCACTGAGGAATGCTGGTACATCCAGATGATAAGTCCTAAATATGACTAAATGCGCATCTTGGATTACACTGATAGCCACCATGCCCCAATTAATTTCTAATTGCATGCTCAGACATCGTCAAAGCACCTGCACAAGAAGCCAACAGACAAGTCAACCTGAAACCGAGCACTTTGGTCCAATCAATCGATGGGAAAGTCTATAATTGAATTTAATTAGTTCTTGATCAGATATACTTCCTCAGGGATATTTCCATGTGTTAGGAAGTTGAAACCTCAATTTTCTATATTATTCTTAAAATGAAGAATATAAACTGTTTATAAAAATGAAAATGGCTTTCTTTAGAATCCAGACATAAAGTACAATGGAAAATTGCTTATCGCAACGCACTATTTTCAAAATAATGTCTTCCTCTTCACTTTACTTCACATGTATACATCCATTAAAGTTAGCTGACAATATTCAGCCGATGCAAACCGAAATTATATATATATAAACTAGTGTAAAAACAGTTTACACCTCTGTTATGCAATATGAAGTCTATAAGCTTTCAGAGAACGAAACAACGATAAAATTATTGAGAATACTTGAAATATATTACTAACTAATTTGAGTAGCAAATACAGGACTTCAAATAAACATGAAGATAACCATGTACCAACAAAAACAACCAGCATCGATCACCATCAGCGGAAGAAATTTGGTAGAAGTTACTTCCCTCACTTATCTAGATAGTATCATTTCGACTATAGACAGTTGACACGGATGAGAATATATCAAAACTAGCCACAACCGGAAAGGTGTGGCAGAATTTCATCACTCGGCATTCTGCTGCATAAAGAACGAAATTCTGAATTTCATCGCTAATATCAAGTCAATTCTTCTATATATATATATATGGATTAGAGGCTCGACGCGTCATTTACCAACAACTGCCTTCCCTGGCTCCATATTGACAATCAGATAGCCAGACAGAATAGATCAACAACAACAAAAACTCTGGGAACAAACTAACTGAGAACCTATTGCTCAAAAGATATGTGTAAAACAAAATAGAAGTGGATTGGACATAAGTTGTGGAGAACAGTGATTAATGTCACTCGCCAGGCCGGGTGTAACCGAAATAATAAACGATGGGTTGTTTATGAGTCTGACAGTTGACATCAAAAAAGAGATCATGTAAGGAAGAGATGTGAGACTATTTAAAATATTGGGGACAGATGATGAGGACTGTAAAGACCAGGCAAAAAGTGGAGATGTACTTCTGGAAACCTATATTCCACAAAGGGTTGCAAGCTTTTAAATTTCAGTAGCGTGTTGTAGTTAATTTTTTTGAGGTTGACGCATGTACTTCACCGACAACCATCCGTTTTTATCCCTGCTTACCACAGGTTAATAAACTAGGCTAGATTCAGGAATGAGTCGGCTGAGAATCGAAAACAGATACCCCTGTTGTTCATCATAAAGGTTTTCAATAACATAAAAATTCCCATAGTGATATTGATAGACCACAACTAAGGCAAATACATATTAACCTACTATTCAAGGGTAATCAGATTTTGCAGTTGACAGCTAGCTCAAAGACTTCAGTCAACCACCAAACGCACATTCTAAGCCGCCACTTCTCTTTCCCTCACATTTCGAAGATTTTTCGATCCCTGTACCTACGATTAAAGGACAAAATTCTATGGACTCTACTCCCCTCAAACTAAATCTACAAGTTCACCTGCAGTTGCGGTGACACTTATACAGGTAGAAACAATAGAATGTTCCAATATTGTCGAAAACAACATGTTCCAAAATGGCTACTAAATCATATAGAAAATCCCAATGCGATTAATCTGAATAGAAATCCAGCATCACCATCCATTGCAAAACACTTATTAATGTCAGGTCACAAAATCAATATTAATGACACAATTATTTCAACACATAACTCTAATTCAAAGTTGGTTATTGAAGGGGATGGAAGCACTTTCGTGGATTAATCGCATATAAAAAAAAAAAGGTTAAAAAGGTTTAAAATTAATTGAACCCAACTAAACGATATTTTAATTGGAAAAAAAAAAATTTCGTAAAGGGAAATAAAGTTATTAAATGGAAGAAAAATAATTAAATTAAAAAAAAAAAAAGAAAAAAATCTTTTATTTTTTTATTTTTTTTTATTAAATCGCATATAGCCTAAACTGTGTGTACGGAAGACAATAGACTTCAATCTTCGCCCACCCTGGACTACGTGACCTATCTAAATGTGATTGGTCATTAGTATGTACTTTCGTTTTTTTTATTGAACTGAGTAATTGTCATGCATTTTATTTTATTATTGTTAACGATGTTAGTTGTAAAGCGGTTGTGAAGAAACTACGAAATGATGCCATCATCTCGCGAAATTTGTCTTCTAAATTGCCTTATTCAAATACATATTACTTTCAGTAAATTTTCAACAGGTTTTACATTTACATAATGACGAAATATTAGCTATAAATGTGGTTAATAAAATGTATAAGATCAGAGTTCAGAGGTGTGAACTGATGGATAACAATTGAGGTGATCATATTTATAGTAATAATAACAAGGATAAATTCATTTAAGTGTTTATAAGTAATTATAATAATATAATGATTACAGTTATCCAGTGTCACTGGAGAGTTAACTACTTTAGGTTTGTGGCGCAACGACAATCTCCAAACTCAGAGATTGGGTTGGAAACATTAAAATTTGTCAATCTTGCGCTGCGTATTCACTAGATGCGCCAATATGAATTTTCTGATTGACTTTACAACATTGTGTTTAAAATTCACCACTCGTGAAGGATCAGCTGTCGAGTCTTGACAATTCAATGTACATTTATAAATTTGACTGTTCATGTGGAGACAATGACACAAGTAGAACGACTCGGGAAGTCCATCTTCGCCTTCTGAAACATTGTCCAATGTGGTTAAGTACAGGAGTCGTAAAGCCAATCAAAAGTTTCCTACTGTCAAACCTAGTGGATACGGAGCAGAAGATTGACAAGAATTCAGCTTATACATTTTCAGAAAACATACCACCAGACTCCATAGGTTGGTTCGTCTTCGTTCGCTAAGCGTAGCTGAAGCAGTTACCATAAAAAAATTTTCAGCCCAATCTCTGTTTTCAGAAAAGGTTTGTTCAATCTCTCTCGTTTCCTTTGCCTTCTCTACTGGTGACACTGGATGAAGGTTTTATCATTATTGTACTGGTTTTCTGTTTTCGAAATTAAAATGCAAAAATAACAAAATCAGCGAATATTGAGGACGAAAGTAATAAAATAAACAATCAAATTTACATTTCTTGTCTTCTTCTTCTTCTTCTCATTTCATGCTTAAGGCCTGGCTGGTTTGGATCCAAAGTCAAGTGGAAAAATTGGATCATATGCATTAATTTACTATGTAGTGACAACAATGCTTGCTGTTATCTTGGGTATCGGTTTGGTGCTGTGCATTCATCCAGGGGATACATCAATTAAAGAAGAAATTGGTGAAGGGACAATAGCAGAGAGAAGACCTGAGACATTGGACTCTTTATTGGATTTATTGAGGTAAGCGCTGTTTGTGTGTGTGTGTGCCTGCGTGTGTATGTTTAGTGGGTAAGCGCATGGTATAAAATCTCTCTTTGTAAAATTTTTCTAATGCATGCATAATATGTTTTTGCGTGATGATGTGAACTTGTCAATTTTTTTTAAGAGTTTAACAACCCAAGGCTGATTTCTACACTGGACACTGGATTCGTATATTTGATTCTCCAACTGATTTTAGGTCTGATATTTACTCCACATCGAAACCCTGTGATTTCAACATAATGAATGGAATAGCGCTGCAGTTGTTTTACATGCAATTAATTTTTTGCATTCCTTCGCATTCTGAGCGGAACAGAAGAAGGTGGGGTGGTAGGAGTTTCATACTCGAGTTTTAGAGTTTCAGTAGAGATGATGTTGAACTTCATGATGTAAGGTTACCAGTCTCATGTCTGAACTTTCATCTTTATCGAAATTGCCACTAACGAAGCGAGGTGTTTTTCGAGCACAATTTATTAATGTTTATAATCATATCAAGGCACTACTCACACAACTTTCTTGCTTCATTTATATACATGAGTAAAAATCGATGATTAAACATTCGATTGAATGAATTCAGCATAAGGTACATTCGGAGATGATATTAGTGCTATCAATCAAATACAATCATATGGTAAACAAGCTGTTTTTATAGTAAAATAAATAAGTAACTTGTTAGAATGTTATTGTTATGTACTCGTCGACAAATTTAATATGGACTGATCGAGAATGTAATAGTCCTGACGCAAGAAGGCGGAAATCAGAAGACCACTAGGTTTGCGATGATACTTCTATTTCCAAACACAAGGAGACGCAATAAATGGTATCACACCAAAGTAAGTGTAAGTCACAAGATTGTGAGAACGAAATATATATATGAATTCAAAAGTGTGAAAAATATAATTAAAAGTAATTATAAGAATCATATAACACGAAATAAGAATCAACAACCACATATGATATTCACAACAGTCAAAAACCTATATTATATTATATAAATAAGGAAATAATTAAAGGAATAAAGAAGCAAAAAGAGAAAAAAAAGAGAACAAAAAACAATATATATTGAAAATTTATAATGTGAATTGAATTGAAATGGAACTTTAAGATTATTTATTATCCTCCTCTGATTTGACTGGTGATAATAAAATTTTTTATGTCTCTGCTATTTGCGTTGAGTCATTTCTGTTGCATGTGTTGGGTGTAGACTTGATGAACCAGGCAGGATTCAGTAATCAATCTCTCTCTCTCCACCTAACTATATTACCTTTTAGAATTTTGACTCTCTCCCACTCACCCTACTGTGAGGTTGTGTGTTAATGCATGCAGCACTGAGTTTCTTTGTGAATTACTTACCTTCGTGGGATCAATCATTCTAAATTTTACTAAATTCTTATGTTCTGATAACCTGGCTACTCCTGATCTACTAAGTTGACCTATGTAGTTGACTTAACTCACAGTCATTGGAAGGTATTTTGTATATTATATCATTTCGTCTAATTGAGTCAACAGGGTCCTTTAGCCTAGACAGCTCGTCTCTGAGTGAGTGCCACTCTAATTCCTGCTTTATTGAGAGTCCTTTGTCGGATCTGAGATGTCTCCTCTTTATATAGTATAAATGTAGATGCCTTATATCCTCTCTTCTTTGTGCAGTCATTATTGATTTCACCGTTATTTTCATTTTGATTGATTTTTATTCAAATGTCTAATCATCAATCTTTACTCATGTACATAAATGAAGCAAGAAAGTTGTATGAGTAGTGCCTTGACATGATTATGAGCAGCAATAATTTGTGCTTGAAATGCGGTCATCAGTTAATATTACTGTATAACACTGTGGGGTTTAAAACAATTAGTTCCCTTTATGAATCTAGTTAAACAAAGCAATAAGAAGACGTAATTTGTCTGAATCCTGTAATGTATTTGCGCAACATATTTCAAAAATTCTGATCACACACAGACCTGTCATAGGAATATATATGAAATTAATACAGAGTCAAGAGGTGAGAAAGGAGACTTAGGTCAAGTTAAAAGGACATATTCAACGTCAAAATAACAATGAAGATCAGTAAACCAAATAGCAGAGGTAATAGTACATCTGCTATGGTATCAAAACAAAATTTACCAAAGAAGGTTTAATGTAATGACGAATTGTTTTTGAACGCATAAAAGTCCTTGAACTTCCTAATTGCTAGGGCTTCCACAAACTTCAGGATACGCCCCAGACACGTTTTATAGATAGGTTTAAAATATCTGTTAACGTCAATTTTATGTCCTATCTCTATGATATGTTTCGCAATAGAAGAGCTAGGTCTCCTGTTTCCACCGTTAATAGGTTCTGAAGATTCCATTTGTTTCTGGAGCCATTTAGGAATATGCTCTGAAGCCAGTCCTTACTTGCAGAGATCGAGGAGTCCTCTCTGTATATGTGTGTCCACATGTACACTTAAATTGGTAAATACAGCGGGATATGACGTCATTTTTCGCATGTTTGAAGGGCTTAGATAGATATAATGGCTTCACATTCTCAGTTATTATGACATTAGCTGCATAAAAAGTCTTTTTAACAGCACGGTTCAGTCTTTGTCTATTTATCAAGCTGCTTTGATGCCCCATATATGGTAGCTTGATGTACACGTCTTTCTTAGAGGCGAGTTGGAGAGTGGGTCGTGGTGTTCTGACTACTTTTTATCTCCTGATGAACTTGTCTGGATAATTGTCATCAACCAGAGTTTTTGTCAACTTTCTTTCTTCTTCATCAAGTGTGTCTTCAGTGCATATTCGTTGGATTCTACTGAAGAGGCACCTTACTAAGCCTCTTTTGTACCGAACAGGGCAGAAACTGTGGTAATTACGATACTGTCCTGTCCAGGTAGGTTTTCTGTTAAATAGATCGTTCTACTGATCCGTCAGGCCGTTACTAAGCAATATGTCTAGGAAAGATAAACAATTATCTTCCTCTTCTACAGATTGATGTGAAAGATATGCTATTCTGAACTTCATTCATTCGATTTAAAATTGAGGTGGCAGAACAAGGCCTAAGACTTGTGATTTCATTGTCGTCTACATACCTTCTACAAAGTGATACATTTCCTACTGAATCTTCCAATAAACCTTCAATATACGATATATGCTAGAAGAAGCCGCAAACGAACTTCCCATAGCGATACCATCAAGCTGGTGGAAACAATCGCCTTCAAATGTGAAGCTAACATTGCTAGTGCATAGAAGTAATAAATCCCTTAAATAAGATATAGGGAACGGGATGAAAAAATTGTTTGTGAAAATGTAATCACACAAAATGTCACCTATTTTGAGAAAAGGCATATTAGTGAATAACGAGTTTACATCAAAAGAGTACATATTCTTGTTCGTAATATTATTATCGTCAAAAAAAAATAGCCAATTCAAATGTATCTTTTAACACATACTTACAGAATTGTGTTTTGACTGGATGCAATAATTCTACTAACCATTTAGCAAGTTTATGCATTAGGGATTTGCATATTGACAATATAGGACGTAGAGGATTATTGGGTTTATGCATTTTTGGCAAACCATACATATGTGGGAATTTACAATCTGATGGTTTTAATGAGTCAAGTTTATCTTTACTTATAGCATTTAGGCCATAAAGCTTCACTAGATTAGCTGTCACTGTACCCTGCAACAACTGAATATCTTCTGTGGAGGGATCACTGTGTGATTTATCAAAATAAAATCTCTAATGGAGTTATCAAATTTATCTTAATAAACAGAAGATTGTAACTAATAATGCACAAAACTCCATACTACTGATCGGTGGAAATAAGTAGTTATATACTACGTACACCAAACTGCTGTACTTCCTAGTCAGGATGTTTCGCTCATTTGAGGCCTAGTTTATCAGTGAAGGACAAAGTGCAACTCGGTTTAGACAGAAGAATCGCAATTAGTCGGTAGTGTGTAGTCTGTTGCATTTATACTTGATTTCTTGATTACAATATCTGATATCGTGGCAGATCACATATTCTATGTGATGTGATTAGATTTTGGTTCCCGATGGAAACTCTAATGATGAAATCTTACCTAGAACTGTGTAAATTCTACCTTCATTTGATAATTGCGAATAGTGACCAATGAAGAATGCAGTTTTGAGTCATTACATATTTATCTACCATTTAAAAAGTGTGCAGACAATACAATCAATGATACTACCACTACCACTGTAACGACAGAAGACAAGGGCCAGGCAACAGATATTTATAGGTTTTTGTGTACATTATTATTAGCGTTATTGTTAGCAGAGAAGCAGCGTCTTCTGATTGGTTGTTTTTCTGCTGAAGCTTATTCTGTCATCTCATTGTGACCGTTTCTAATACAGTCCAGTGATATATATTAGCGAATCGTATCCTTCCACGCTAAGTCTTCCGTGTCTGGTTATTGAGTTCCTCAAGGTTAGGCTTTGCTACTGATTTCTCTCCTGACCAAGATTTAGGACGTGAACATTCACGTAAATTGTTGCCTACAATATTGTCTTGCAGACAGCTCTCACCATACGGCTACTAATCTTAATAATAATAATAGTCATTTTATTTGAAACACTAAGCTTACATTCGGGATTGAAGTTTCCAGCATTCTACGTATTGAAGCAATTTATCTTTCCTCTTGAATAATGAATATGTAAACCAGCAGAAATAATGAAACTTTAAAAAAACGGAAAGTTATGAGAAGAATATCTATAATAACAATTATAAAAATGCTGGTAATGAGTTATTGTTTATTCAAAGATTACAACGTATGTTTATAAGTTCTTTCCTGACATTTGTCCCTTCATTACACAAAACCTGTGTCTGGTTAATTTTTTTATATTTTAAAACAAGCAGGGGTTAGAATTCATCGGCCATTGGAGCGGGTCCCAGTGGCTCAATGGTCTACGAGCTCGCCAGCTTTGTAACCAGAGGATCCTGAGTTCGAACCCCGGGGGGGTTGCGTACTAATGAAGA